TTGTTCTCTTCCTTCCTCCCCGCCCCCATGTCTGGGGTTCCAAGACAAGGAATGGGACAGAACCCAGGGCGAGATGGAAGGGTGAATGAGGCTGGAGGAGTCAAGGCGGGGAGGACAAGATCGACTTACCCTGGAGAGAGACCTGCAGGTTGTGCAGGCCCAGGGAAGCAGAGGGAGGTGAGCAAAATGTTTTTCTAAAAGAAAAACAGGAAAATATCTTCTGGATGTGTACATGTGTATGGGAGCACTAGGAATTGAACCCAGGGTCTCACACATACCACTGAGCTACACTCTAAGACCCAGGAAAATATCTTTAGGACCTTGTAATAAGCAAAGCCCCCCCCCATGTGTATAATTTTATTTTTATGATGCTGAGGATTGAACCCAGGATCTCCATCATGCTAAACAAGTGCTGAGCCACATCCCTAAGTGGCAAAGATTTCTTAATCTTGTCACACAAACAATCAACATGAATGAAAACAAGTGAGCAAACTCAATGGTACTTAATCAATTTCCTGGTCAAGCATGGCGGTACATGCTTATAATCCCTGCACCGGGGAGGCAGGAACAAGAGGACCATACAAGTTGGAGGTCATCCAGGGAATGATAGTGGCACTTGTTGAATTTTAAAAAAAGGAAAAAAAAAAGTGTGTCATTTTACCAAAAAAAAAAATGTGTCATTTTACCAAAAATACATTAAAAGAATGAAAAGAATCCCTGGGGTGATGATGCACACCTGTAATCCTAGTGTTTGGGAAGTGAAGGCAAAAGAATCAGTAGTTCAAGTTCATCCTCAGCTACCTAGTGATTTCAAGGACAGCCTGGGCTACAACAATCCCTGTTTCAGAAAACCAAAATATAGGGACTGAAGAGATGGCTCAGCGGTTAAGAGCACTGACTGCTCTTGCAGAGGACCCAGGTTCAATTCCCAGCACCCACATGGTGGCTAAAAACTGTCCTTAAGGGGCTGGAGAGATGGCTCAGGGGTTAAGAACAGTGGCTGTTCTTGCAGAAGACCTGGGTTCAAATCCCAGCACCCACATAGCAGCTAACAACTGTCGTAACTCCAGTCCCAGGGGATCCAACACCTTGGGTTCTTTAATTTTGTGTGTGTGTGTGTGTGTGTGTGTGTGTGTGCATGCTGGGAGTCAGTTCTCTCCTTTTATCATATGACTTCTGGGGATTAAACTCAGGTCTTCAGGCTTGGAGTAAGCACTGTTACACACTGAGCCATCCCAGGGGCTCTGACAGCCTCTTCAGACCTCCGAGGAATTGCACGACACAGGTGCACTCACATACATGAAGGCCACACACACATACACATAAAATTTTTTAAAAATTAAAAAAAGAAAATCAAAATATAATAGACACAGAGTAAAAATGCAATCCAGAGGCCATTGAAATGGCTCAAAGTAAAGGTGTTTGCTGAGGAAGCCTTACAGTAAACCTAAGTTCAATTCTTGGAATCTCCATAAAGGTGGGAGAACCAGCTCCACAAATTTGTTGTCTGACTGCCACATTCATGCCATAATACATGTACACATAGGCACATGCACATAATAATAAGAAAATAGTAATAGCAACACAGAGAATGAGAGATACTCTCTATAATACATGTAATTCATCAATAACTCATATCTACAATATTCAAATGTCTTTTATAAATCAATAAGGAAAATACATAGCTGTGTGAGATGGTGTCCTAGTTTGTTCTTCATTGCTGTGACAAAACACTCTGACCAGTACCAACTTGGGGAGGAAAGGGTTTATTTGTCTTATATCTCCCAGGTCACACGCAGTTCATCAGGGAGCCCAAGGTAGGAACTCAGGGCAGGAACCTGGAGGCAGGAGTTGGAGCACAGACCATGGAGGACCGCTGCTTACTGGCTTGCTCCCCTGGCCCCTGCTCAGCCTGCTTTCTTATGCAACACAGGCCCACCTGCCCAAGGGTGGCACCACCCACAGTGGGCTGGGCCCTCCCACATCACTCATCAAGAAGATGCCCCTCAGACATGGCCACAGGCCAGTCCAATAGAGGCAATTTCCCGATTGAGGATCCCTCAACCCAAGTGTGTCAAGTTGACACTAAAGCTATCCAGCACAGATGGCTTTTGCACAGAATCCCAGCGCTAGTGAGGCTGAGGCAGGAGGATTGTCAAAAAGTCAAGCCTAGCCTAAGCTACATAGTGAATTCCATGCCAATCTGGAATACAAAGTGAGGCTCTGCCCACCACTCCCCCAAACAAAACAAATGAAAAAGAAGAGGAAGAGGAAGAGGAGGCAGAGGAGGAAACTACAACAGGCAAAAGAGATTTACAAGCACCCAAGAGAGCATGTTCAAATCAGCCATAAATTTGGAAAAGGTGATCAGCTTCATTAATCAGGGACATGTAAATTAAAACTCAAATTAACTCTGCTGAAGAAGCCAGATGCAGAAGAGCACACATTGTCTGATTCCATTTATAGAAACTTCCAGTGACAGAAAGTGGTTGTCTGAGGATAGAGTTGAGTGAGGTTAACTGGAAGGGGACTGAGGGACGTTTCTGGGGTGATCCAAGTGCTCAGTATCTTGATGGTAGGGATTTTGTAATTGGCAACACTCATCAACAGGTACAAGAGTGGGTGTACTCACTTGTCTGTATTCTAGATTTCAATAAAGTTGATCTTGGGCTGGGTTGGCACCTGCCCAATAGTCCCATCTTGGGACTGAGGCAGGAGAATTACTGGATGGCAGGAGTCCGGGGCCAGTTTAGGCAACATAGTGAGAACTGTCTACATAATTAAAAGAAAAAGGAGGGGGATGGGGATATAGTTCAGTTGGTAGAGTACTTGCCTAGCATGCTTGAAGCCCTGGGCTCATCTCCTAAGGCTCTTCAGACATGCACCAACCAGAAAAGGTGGGGCACACTTGTAATCTAGTCAAGAGGTAGAGGCAGGAGAACTGGAAGTTTAAGGACATCCTCAGCTACACAGGGAACTCCAGGCCATCCTGGGCTACAGGAGACCCTATTGAAAGAAAGAAGGAAGGGAGGGGGGTGGGGAAGAGGAAAGGAAGAAGGAAGAATTGTTAAAGCCCAATAAGATATCACTACATTCTCATCAGAATTACTAAAACTAGGACTGTTGAGCTAATTCATTATGTGAAAGCACTTGTTGCCAAGCATGATGACCTGAGTTTGATTTCCAGGATCTATATGGTAGAAAGAAAAAACTGACTCCTACAAGTTGTTCTCTGACCTCCACATGCATGCTGTGGCACAAACACACACAAATAATTAAATGGAATTTAAGAAAAGAGCTACCAAAAATAAAATCATCACATGGTAGCAAGGATGCAGACCAATTAGAACTCTCCTATGTTATAGAAAAGAGCATAAATGAACATAACCACTGGGAAACTCTTGTAGAATTATACATAACTCACCATGAAGCCTTCCAGTTTCACTCCTTGGCATATACCTAAGATAGATAGATGATAGACAGATGATAGATAGATAGATAGATAGATAGATAGATAGATATGATAGCGATGATAGATGATTGATAGACTTACCAAAGATATCTATAAAATAATTCATCAGAACATTTTTTTGAGATAGGATCTGTGCTGGATAGCTTTAGTTTTCAACTTGACATACCTGGGTAGAGGGAATCTCAACTGAGGTATTTCCTATTGGATTACTCTGTGGCCTTGTCTGTGGGGCATTTTCTTGATTGTTGAGTGATGTAGGAGGGATCACCCCACCGTGGGCAGTGCCACCCCTGGGCAGGTGGTCTTGTGTTGTATAAGAAAGCAGGCTAACCACAGACCAGGGGAGCAAGCCTGTAAACAGCAGTCCTCCATGGTCTGTGCTTCAGCTCTTGCCTGCAAGTTCCAGCCCTGAGTTCCTACCCTGGCTTGACTTCCCTCACTGATGAACTGTGACCTGGGAGATGTAAGATAAAATAAACCCTTTCATCCCCAAGTTGGTTTTGGTAAGTGCTTTTATCACAGCAATGGAAAGACAGGGTCTCACTGGCCTTGAACTTCTTGCCTCAGCTTCTTGAGCACTGTGATCACAAGTGTGTGTCATCCTGCTCACTTAGACTAGCTTAAAGACATTATGTTAAAGACAAGTGACCAAATATAAAAATGTTCATGTTGTGGTTGTATTTGACTAAAGTTCAAAACAGGCAAAACTAATCTATTATACTAGAAGTCAGGGCAGAAATCACCTAGTTGGGAGGAGGGAGTTACTGATGGTCAGCAAGGGGTTGTGATGTGTATTTTGCTGTTATAACAATTGAAAATCTAACGGAGTTTTGATAGCACTAATTCCATTTTGAGATGTTTCTTATAGGCTATAGCCTAAGCAAGAGGCTGGCTGACCACACCAAATGGTCACCTCTGACAACTGGCAGACTGATAGCCAAATGGACAATTCTTTCCAGATACACAATAATTGATGTCCTGGATCTTGCCTCCTAAAAACTGACATCTGGAAGACAGAGAACACAGCTTCTGAAAATGCAAGTTCCAGGATCTTCAGACTTCCATTTGAGATCCTCTGTAACTGATCCATTAAAAACTAATACTTAAGCATTCACAGATAAATAAAATAATGCCATGGCTGATAATAATTCTCTGACACAAACAAAAAGTAGTTCCTTAGCCAGGGAAGGATTGATTAAGCAGGAGAGATTGGCATCATGTGTTGATCGACACTGAAAGCAGCTCACAAATACACGAGGGATTATAATAATATTATCTACATTTCTACAAACATTTGAAATACTTTTTTAAAACTATTTTATTATTTTTATTTTATGTGTATGAGTGTATTGCCTACATGTATGTGAGTGCACCTGTGTCATGCAGTGCCGCAGAGGTCAGAAGAGGGCGTCGGACTCCTCTGGAACTGGAGTTAAAGACGATTCGTCGCCCTCATGTGGATGCTGTGAAGCGACCCCGGGTCAGTGCTCTTAGCCACTGAGCCATCTCTCCAGCCCATGTTTTTTTTTTTTTGTTTTTTTTTTTTTAAGGTGCAGCTCGGCCTGGCTTCAAACTCCTCTTCAGTATTCGCCTACTGGAGTGCACCACTAAGACCAGCTGGAAGAAGAAAAAAAAAAATCCTTTTAAAGTAAAAAGAATAAGGCAGTTTCCAAACATCTTCAATAAATAGGGGCGATGACAGAATACACTATATTCGCAGGGATGTGAGGAGCAGCAGAAGAAAAGTGCTCTATGAGATGCCGTTTCACTATTAGGCGCCACTGTCATTTTGGTAGCGGCTTCCGTTGGCTCCTTCCTCCGTCCCTTTTGGTTCCCACTTACCCCCGTCGACAGCCACGATGGTCTAGCCCAGCTTCCCGCGGGGAAACCCCTGGGACGGAGCGCTGCGTCTGCGCGTGGCGGCGACCCCTTCGCAAGCCCCTTTAGATCGCTCCGCGTCAGGGGTGGGCCGGGGAATTGTGGGCAGGACGCGAGTCCCGGTCTCTGATTGGTCGCCGCCGAAATAAACATCCGGAAAGCGGGGCGGGGCCGGAAGTGGAAGAAGAAGAAGGCGGTAGCTGAGGCAGTTCGCGAGGTTCTAGAGCCAGAGTCAGACCTACAGGTGCCATGGGCCGGGTGAAGGCGCCCTGAGGGGACGCGCGGTTGGGCATGGCCGGCGCTCGGACCGCCGCCGCCGCTTCGGCGGGGTCGTCCGCCTCTTCTGGCAACCCGCCGCCTCAGGAGCTGGGGCTCGGGGAGCTGCTGGAGGAGTTCTCCCGGACTCAGTATCGGGCCAAGGACGGCAGCGGCACGAGCGGCTCTAAGGTGAGCCGCAGACCCACGGCGAGCTGGGCCCTGGCCGGAGGAGTTACGGAGGGAAGACTGAGCTCAGGCTTGGGAGGAAAGGCGGGAGGGGGTCCTCCTTGCAGTGGAAGAGAGGGAACTTATGCAGGCTGTGGACCCGAAGAGTAAAGTCGGGTTCAAAACCAAAGAGGAGGAACGAGACTCAGAAGGGAACCAAGGAACGAGGTCTTTTGCCTGAAGAAAGTTTGGAGGTCGAGGTCAAGGGTCGAATCTGCGGGGCAGGTGCAAAGGTTACAGCAGGAGGAACCAGAAGAGGATCCTACTTGGTGGGCCTAGAGGGGTTGCTGTCAGATCAAAACCTCCGGGATCGAAGTAAAAATGAGGAAGAGATTCCTCTAGACCAGAGATCAGAATGAGGAGCCTGGAATAGCGTGGCATTACGGAACCAGCAGAGCAGCTGAGCTTGTCACCTCCTTATAAGGTGTCAGCGTGACTTAAACCCATCCCTTTCCTTCCCCTGTAAAGTAGGAGGACAACCTACACTCCCTTTCTGTTCCGTTTATAAAAAATAACTCTGTTCCCCTTTTCTTTACCCACCTGGGATTCCCCTCTCCTCTAATCACCAGAGCTGGAAAGTGTACCCCACTCAGCACTGGCCGACTCTACTCTTTCTCATTCCTGTGCCCTTTTAACATTAGGTTTTTCCTAAGGGGTTCTTCTCCATCCTGGGCCACAAAACTGGTTTGTCTCTGGAGGTTGCCTAGGCTGGGACATGCTTTATGTGACATCTTCTGGTTAGTCTCTGATGTAACCTAGAGGGAAGACCAGTAACCGTGGGGCATCCTCACTCACCACATAACCAAGTACCTTTCAGAGTATGGTTGGCATTATTTGGGATACTTCTTAAACAATTCTTTGGCTCTACCCTTAGACTCTCCTAAGTCATAATTTCTAGGGGTCGACCCTAGAATTTACTGTTTGTTCATTGAGACCGGGTCTCAGATGGGCTGGCTGTAAAATCCTTATATAGCCAAGCCAAGGCTGGTCTTGCACTCCTGATCCTCCTGCCTCCACCTCCCAATTACCGGGGTTACAAGTGTATCATGCCTGTTTTATGCAGTGCTTGGGATTGAACTCAGTGCTTTGTGCCTTCTAGGCAGGAACTCTTAGGAGCATGGTCTTTCTGTGTGACTCTGCCTGGCCTCAAATTCACTATGTAGCCCAGGATGGTTTGTAACTGAGGATCCTTCTGCCTCAGCCTTCCCAGTGCAGTGGTTACATGTGTGAGTCATCACCCAGACTTCAACGAGGGTCTTTTAAGTGGTTATAGGAAGTAAGTGATTTTGATGGGTCCCTTTTCCCTCTTAAATCTGTGAAGATTGTTATATGTTAAACTTGACTTTCACCACAGCTGACTCGCCTCCCCAGACCTCATGATCTCTTACAAAGTTCTTTTTTCAATTTTTTATGTATATGAGTGTTTTACCTGCGTTTATGTAAGGTGCTAGAAGAGGATGTTGGGTCCCCTGGAACTGGAGTTACAGAGGGTTATTAACACCATGTGGATGCTGGGAATTGAACCTGGGTCCTCAGGAAGAACAGCAAGTATTCTCTTTTTTTTTTTCTAGTCTTTTTGAGACAGGGTTTCCCTGTAGCCCCAGCTGTCCTGGAAATCACTAAGTAGACCAGACTGGCTTTGAACTCACAGAGATCTACCTGCCTCTCTGCCTCCACCTCTGGAGTGCTGGGATTAAAGGCATGCGCCACCACGCCCAGCCAAACACCAAGTATTCTTAACTGATGAGCCATCTCTCCAGCTCCTCTTACAAAGTTCTTGATGTGTTATAGACTTTTTTTTTTCTAATAGGCTTTTTTCTGAACTGTGAAGAAGAGCAATGTTAGGGGAAGCCATGTGTTCTGTTTTAATAAGCAGATGGTGTGTAAAGAAGCAGCTGTCTGCACCTTCTATTGATTATACTGACTAGCAGGTCTTTATTTAGCTAGGGGTTGTGGAGGCAGGGTCTTGGTATATATAGCCTAGACTGGCCTCAAACTTGACATCCTCCTGCTTCAGCCTCCCATATACTAAGATTGCAGGTGTGTACCACCGTGCCTGGCTGACCAGTAGACTGGGGCTGTGGAATAGGGAAGAATCTCATGTCATAAAAACATAATGGGTTAGTGCTAGTTATAGTAACCCAAGGCAAGGGTTCTTGTTGCTTTGTATTTTGAAACAAGGTCTTAGTATGTAGCCTTGGATGGCTTTGAATTTCTCAGCCCTTCTGCCTCAGTCTCCAAAGTGCTGGATAACAGGCATGTGATATCACACCTAGAAAAAGGTTTTATGTTTTATGAATCGTAGACTCTCTCCAATGCAGATTGCATATAGTCTTACACAAAGTGTTGAGGGGGATTCAGGAACCTTCCTGAAGCATACCACATATGATTTAATGAACATGAAGAGCCCATGACCCAGAATCCTCAGTCTTCCAAGCATTGAATGATAATCACAAAGGCACATGTCACTTAACTCCTAGTGACCTCTCCATGACATGGGTCACTTAACTCTCACCCTCAGACCCAAGAATCTTCTTCATGCTCAAGTCTCCTCTGCAGGTTGAACGCATTGAGAAGAGATGTCTGGAGCTATTTGGCCGTGACTACTGTTTCAGCGTGATTCCAAATGTGAATGGGGATATCTGCGGCCACTACCCCCGGCACATCGTGTTCCTGGAGTATGAGAGTGCTGAGAAGGAGAAAGACACGTGAGCATCATAGTATGCATGTCTGGGTCAGCCTTAAAATTTTATCCCAGAGCCAAAAATTTTGTAGCTGGGCAGGGCAGACTCTCTTTCCCCAGGTAGTGTTGAGTTTATTGGCATCTTTATTTACTTCAGGGTTTGATAAGTTGGATTGGCAGTGTGGCACAGCATAGGGAGTCACAGCCCTGGATTTCTCTTTCACTCCTACATTAGACCTCATTGATCTAGGACAGCTGATATCTCACTTCAACTCTGAACAACTTCAGAGCCCTCATTTTTTGTCTTTAGAGAGTGTGGGTAGAAGGTCTGACATGTCAAGACAGGTTTGGGGCAGGGGGTGTTGTTGACATGAGGTATCATACAGCCCTGGTTGGCCTTGAACTCACTATGCCAAAGGATGATTTTGAACTTCTGATCCTCTTGCTTCCTCCCCGGCCAAGCCAGCTCTCAAGACAGGCTTAAGAGGTTTTTTTTGTTTTGTTTTGTTTGGGTTTTTTTGGTCTTTTTGACACAGGGTCTCCCTGTAGTCTCAGCTGGCCTGGAACTCACTATGTAGACCAGACTGGCCTCGAACTCACAGAGATCCACCTGCCTCTCTGCCTCCGGAGTGCTGGGATTAAAGACATGCACCACCACGCCCGGCTTTCCTTAGGGACTAGCTTTTGTATAGTCTTTTTCTTCCTTTCTTTCCCTTGCCCCCCACCTCTGTTTGGTTTGTTGTTTTGTTTTGTTTACTTTTTGAGACAAGGTTTCACTCTGTAGCTTAGACTGTTCTGGAACTCACTATGTAGTCCATCCTGGCCTAAATATGAAAATTCCTAAGTACTAGGATTACAGGCATGAGCCACCCTGCTCATGTCAGATCTTAATTATCAGGCCAAGGAGTATGGGCTTCTGGGCCATATTTGGGTATTTGGGTGTTAGTGGTTTCTGTCAGTAACCCCTGAGCACAAATTCTGGGGTACCTCTTGGGCTTTCTAAACCAGTTTCCACATTCGCAGAACTCTCTAGATGCCATAGTCATCTGCAGGGAGCCATAGAAGGCTTAGCAGAATAACAGCCTGGGCAGAAGAGTTTAAGGATGACGCCTTGGTTTCCTTACCTGTGAAGTGGGGATACTAGAAATTGCATCCCATTTTCTCTGGGCATCTCTAAGTCTAAAGAACTGAGTTGGTGATAGCCCCTTTGTTACAGTTCTCTTCCCAGCTCCTCCTTCCAGTTTATAATCCTATCAGCTATGGTTTCTTTCCTTCCTCCTCCTCCTCTCCCTTTTTTTTTCCCCCTATATGTAACCAAGGCTGGCCTTGAATTCGAACTGTCTGCTTACATTTACCAAAAGTGTGCACCTCTATGCCTTGCTCAAACTGCACTTTCTGAAGAGTTTTGGGAGGTTTTTCCTCTTTGCTCTTTCCACTTTTCCAGTCTTGCACATGTCTCTGTGCCCTGCTTGTATTCTGATATTAAACTCAGCTCAGCACCTGGGCTTTGTGTGCAACTCACCAGTGGATCTTGTTATATTGCAGAATCAGATTCAGAACTTCAGGGGTGGGCCAAGATTCAAGATTTCTAACAAGCTCTCAGGTCTGCAGGCCAGCCTCAATAGCACAATGTGAAGAGCTCAGCCTTGCTTGTCCTGAAGGAAACAAGTTCAGTGCTTGTTCTAGTTCTTCAAAAGAAGGAAACTAGGGCCTCTGGATGTAACTCAGTTTTTAGAGTGCTTGGTTAGCATAACTTAGCACTGGCATAACTTAGCACTGGTCATGGTGATGCATGCCTATAATTCCAGCTCTCTAGAGCTGGAGGCAGGAAGATCAGAGTTCAAGGTCGGAGCCAGTGAGATGGCTGACACCTGCTACCAAGCTTGATGAAATGTTAGATTCCTGGAACCTACATGATAGAAGGAGAGAACTGACTCGCACAAATTTTTGTCTGACTTCCACAAGTACACTGTGACATATACAAACCTACTCACACATGCACACAAAAATGTGCAGTTTTGTTTTTTTTTTCAAGGTCATTAACTACATAATGAGTCTGCAATAGTCCTGAACTACATGAGACACTTAGAGAGAGGGAAAAATTATTTGTTGATTGTCTGCTGGGTTGGCAGGTGTTAGGGTTTCACAGGCTAAGTCCTGCAGTCACCCAGTGAAAAAGACAGTATCACCCCTATTCTATAGAGAGAAAAGTCAAAGCTCAGAGAGGCATCTTGCCATTGGCCAAGGTATCTGGGACAATAAACTGAATGACTATCTGCCTTTGCTTCTTTTAATGACATCTTGTCTATGAGGAGCTCACTTTCCAGGAAAGGACCACTATGCAACCCTAGGAGGGTATTGGAATTTGGTCTTGTTACATCTTTTGTGGTGCTGGAGTTCAAATCCAGATCTTTGAACGTGGTAGGCAAACACTCTGCCCCTCAGCTACATACCCTAGCCTTTTGGCTTTTTGAGATGAGATCTTGGCTAAGTTACTCAAGCTCACCTTGAGCTCTAAATCCTCTTGCCTGAGCCTCCCAAATAACTGGGAGTACAGGTACATGCCATTGTGCCGTGCTTTGGAATTGGTACTTTTCATTCCTTGCAAGACCTTTAAGTTATATTGAAGAGGTTTTTTTTTTTTTTTAATGTGTGTTTTGCCTACATATGTATGTAAGTGTACCCATGTCATGCAGTGCCTGTGGAGGACAGTAGAGGGCGTCAAATCCCCTGGAACTGGAGTTATGGACAGTTGTTAGTTGCCATGTGGGTGCTGGGATTCAAACCTGCCTCTTCTGAAAGAATAACCAGTGCTCTTATCCACTGAGCCATCTCTCCAGCCCCCTGAAGGTGCTATTTGTTGAATGGAACAGAACTTGGGTATAATGGATAAGAAGAAATGCAATTGTTTACTGCTTTATATATTTGAATTAAGTGTTACTATGACACTAAGAAGAAGTTAAGCATGGAATAACTAGATTTAAGAAGTGGCTTGGTCTAGTTAATGAACCTCTCCAAATCTATCCATCGTCTGTCCAAGAAGGCCAGAGGGTTTTCTCTGAACAGTTAAGACATGGTTTGTGCATGAGTGGTCACTGAATTTCCTCTGTGTGGTAGACCCTAAGAATCCAGTGGCAAACCACATAGGTGAAAGCCTTACCAGTAGGCCTGGTGCATAACAGAGACCAGTACATAAGCAATAGCAGTCAATAGCAGTTACAGAGAGCCAGAGCTAAGGAAGTACAGGTGAGGTACAACGGATAATATTAAAACCATGGACTCCAGGAGTGCCAATTCACTCAGGACTCTGAGACAGAAGGTTTGATGTGAGTTGCAGGCCTGCCTGGGCTATAGTCTGAAATCATCTTAAAAATTAAAACAGAGCCATCAGGATGGCTCAGCTGGTGAAAGCCCTCCTCAGTCAGCCCTGACAACCTGAGTTCGATCCCCTGAACCCACATAAAAAAGTCAAATGTGGGAATTCACATCTGTAACTCCAGCACCACTCTAATGAGGTGGGAAGGGAGAATGGACCAGCATAGCAACAAAACTAACAGGAGAGGATCTTTGTCAAAAACGAGGTAGAGAGGCTGGAGAGATGGCTCAGCGGTTAAGAGCACTGACTGCTCTTGCAGAGGACCTGGGTTCAATTCCCAGCACCCACATGGCTGCTACAAACCATCCTTAACTCCAGTTCCAGGGGAATCCGAAGCCCTCTTCTGACCTCTGTGGCATTGCATGACACAGGTGCACTCACATACATGCAGGCAATACACTCATACACATAAAATAAAATAATAAATAAAAATTTAAGAGGTAGAAGGTAAGAACCAACTTCCCAAAATTGTTCTGACTTACACGCTATGGTACATATGCACCTGCATTCTCTCACATAAACACAGATAAAAAGTAAACTTAAAAGTAAAATAATAATGCCAGGCATGGTGACACATGCCTTGAATTCCAGGACTCTGGAGATAGATCTCTGTGAGATTGAGGGTAGCCTGGTCTACATAGTGAGTTCCAGGTCAGATGGGGCTACAGGAGACCCTGTCTCTTTTTTAAAAATTTTTTTATTTATTATTTTTATTTATTTTATCTATTTATTTTGGCCTTTTTGAGACAAGGTCTCCCTGTAGCCCCAGCTGTCCTGGAACTCACTCTTCAGACCAGGCTGGCCTTGAACTCACAGGGATCCACCTGCCTCTGCTGGAATTAAAGGCATGCGCCACCACACCTGGCTTATTATTTTTATTTTTTGTGTGTATAAGTGTTATGCCTGCGTGTATGAAGTGCACCCGTGTTGTGCAATGCCCGTGGAGGTCCGAAGAGGCTGTCGGAGCCCCTGGGACTGGAGTTACGGACAGTTGTTAGCTACCATGTGGGTGCTGGGATTCGAACCCAGGTCTTCTGCAAGAACAACCAGTGTTCTTAACTGCTGAGACATCTCTCCAGCCCCCCCTCTTTTTTTTTTTCAAAGTAAAATAATGATAAAACAACTAGTTTTAAATAGAGAAGAAAATATTGTTGTGACATAAATTCTTAGGGAAAGCTTTCCTGAACCAGTGCCACATTCCCAAACTAGGCTGGTTGTTCCTTTTATGCACCCCAGACTTCCTGCCTATGCCTGGAAAGTTTTGGGATTATAGTCATTTTTGCCACATTGGGCTTTGTAGATAATTTTGTGTATAAGTGATAACCATGAAGAATAAAATCCAGTCAAGTAATTAAGTACCACAAGAGGGGCTAGAGATTTAGCCCTAGATTCAGTCCCCAACACCACATTAAAAAAATACCAAATGAGGGGCTGGAGAGATGGCTCATCGGTTAAGAACACTGGTTGTTCTTGCAGAAGACCCCGATTAGAATCCCAGCACCCACATGGCAGCTAACAACTGTCCGTAACTCCAGTTCCAGGGGATCCGACGGCATCTTCTGCCCTCATGGGCATTGCACGACATGGGTGCACTTATCTACATGCAGGCAATACACTGATACACATTAAAAAAAAAATTTAAAAAAAAA